TGTCCCCCGAGAATTCTCTTAGAGCTGTCCAGGAGCAGCTCTTTCATACATTCCTTAGCGGCATTGGGACAAAATAAAAGTTCGTGAAGAGAATAGGGGCGGCTGGACCGACTCACTTTTACGACAGCTTCCTGAGAGCGCAGGGAGAGGGGCTCGCGTCCCGCCCCGTGTCCTAACTCCTGGGACCTTTAAAGGTCCAGATGGCTCCGGCCACCCAGGCTCGAAGAACGAGCCTCAGGACGCAGCCGGCCTCGGTCACTAGACACTCCCCCGGCCCAAGTGGCGACCGCTCCGTTCTTCTGCCCTCGAACTCTGCGAGGTGCATGCCGGTTCTTTAAATCTCCTCAGTGTCAAAGGCCACGCCCCCGCCCCTTCAACCCCCTCCCCCCGCCACCGTTAGGCGACCAACTGGTGTGTGGAGTTACCGCTTAGGGAGACCTTTGTGAGGCAGGGCTAAGCGTCTTGGGGCGGGCCGCAAAGTGCTGGAGGAGGGCTGTGGACTCAGTTTCCTGGTAGCCTGAAGGGTAAGAGGGGCGGGAGTGAAGCAGGGGATGCCCTTGACTCCTGCAGGGGTCGCTGCGACTGCGCAGAAGCGCCTGCTGGCGCGTGTGACTGATTTTGGCCAAGGTTCACAATGCTGAGGCCGTTAGGTGCGTGGTCTGCTCACGTTCGGTGCCATTTGAAGCTTCATGATTTAATTGATATTGTTGAGCCACAAGTGTGATCCTGCCCCCTCACCTCCCCCGGTACTAAAGCACCCGCCCCCATTCAGTCAGTGCTTTAAAGTGAGGGGTGAGGGGAGGAGACCCCTAGGCCTTTCTTTAAGCAGGAGCTGGGAACCAAATGGGGCAAGGTATTTCCAGTCTTCAGCACCGCCTACGGAAGGGGAGGGAAGACACAGACCCTGGCGCCAGGCTGGCCGAGTTTGAACCCCAGCTCCAGCACCTTGATAAGTCAGGGAAATACCCCTCTGCTTCTGTGATCAGCTTTCCCATCTCTAAAATGGGTATAATGTGCACATTAGGGATTACAATCCTTAATGTACACACAGCACTTAGAACAGGACCTAGATCATACATTCACCTCGTAGTAAGGCCCCTCCCTGGTCATGTAGTGGCCTATGACTTAGACTGCTACCTGAAAGGTCAGCAGTTCGAAACCACCAGCCTCTGGGAGGGAGAACGAGGAGGCTGTTTCCGCTTGTAAAAATTTAGTCTCAGAAACCCACAGGGGCAGTTCTACTCTGTCTCTGTTTGTCACAGGGTCTCTATGTTTGGAATCAATTCGACGGCAGTGAGTTGTTGCGACCTTCTATCTTAGACTACCAAGGCTGCCCGTCCCAATTGGGAAGGAAGAAACCTCAGGTCGGGTGGCACCTTTTCTGATTGCTCAAACTCCACGAATGCATTTACTTAAAAGAGAGACACTTGACTCTTGAATTGCAGTCACGTTTATTTGCAGTTTCTATACACACATTCTAGGTAATCAAACTTTTCTGGTACATTTTTGAAGAGGGGTTCACAATGAAACTGTCACCATTTTTACTAAAAATAAATACAAGACTTAAAAGTGTTGCACAGCTCTAAAATATACAAAGGCTTGGATTGAATGTAAACGTTGAAAACATCTTACAAAAGAAACCATCTTTGCAACAATTTAGAAAGTTCATATTTACAGATATTACAAAAATACAAAATGGATGCAAGTCCGCAAACCGCTGTCTTTTCGGCCAGCATGAACTGGTTCTAGTACCAATATAGTTACACTGTAACCTTCTTAATAGTTTGAAAATCTTTGTCTTGATCTAGTACTCTAAATCTGCCAAAACGGCAGCAAATGCACACACTCACTGACCTTTGGCAAGAGCAAACTGTTGTTGTGTTTGCTACCACTAGTCCAATTCCTCTACTTAGCCAAAAAAGAAAAATAAAAAAAGAGAAAAAAGCAGAATCAAAAAGCAAGAAAAAAAAAATCCCCCATACAACATAGACATGGCTGTATGAACGCAAAAGGAAAAAAATTAACATCAGCGCAAACAACAGAAGAAAAGTTTGGATTCGTGCTCTTTATGATACCTACTGTGTGTATCCTGCTTTAAGACAGCAGTGAAGTTCAAGTCAGCCCTATCTCTTGGTTCTGAGAGCTTGAAAGCCATGTAGCATAATTCTAATTGCTAAGGAATTCTTGCTTTTTTACTCTTTGTTAACTCAATATTCTTTGCCCCAGTGAATTGTAAATTCTTCTTTATTTGGGTTTCTTTTTATTAACTATGAAATATAAAATAGAGAAACTCTGCTATAGATTTTTAGAGTAAACAAAATAAGTAAAACTATATTATAAGGGTTAGTTCTCTGATCATTACATATAGAAGCTATCTTATTGCCTCACAATTCAAGTCAATATGTATTCTAAAATATATATGGTACCATTACTTAAATTAATGTCAATAATAGAGAGGTGACATTTTTATTAAAGCCAATTCATGGGTTTTCTATTCAAGATTTAGAATAGATTTTTACTGTCTACATACCTTTCTTTAAGCTTAAAAACCCCCTTTACTACACAAAAGCCATACTGCAAATGAACTGCTTTTATGAAAATTACAAAAAGATCAACTATTGTGACTGGAATGACGGTTTCTTATCTCAATTTGTCTAAAAACTCAAATTTTAAAAAATTTACCAAGTATACCTTTCAAAGCATGAGAGAGAAAAAAAAATCACTCATGTTTCCATGTGGTGTCAAACCACGCTGGCTTTCTTAACTAATGGATTCCAAGGAGAAATGGTGGTCCAGTTTTCAAACCCCCAAACAGTTTCTTTTAATAAAAATTGGCAACACTTTGTAAATGTTCAAACCCTCTACCAAATAGCTTATCTATCCCAACACACTCACACACACGTGTACACACACACACACACACTCCCTCCTTCTCTACCCCTCCACCCCCAGCACCCATTTTACATACAAGGATGACAAGAAATCAAGAAACACAATTTGATAGTGAAAACAATTAGAAGAAACCAGACTTTTTTTCTTTACAAACAAAAAACCAACAACAATCCGAGTCTCTAATACCTAATCTATAACATTTTATAAAGTGTTTCTATTGAAAGGCAGTATCTTCTCACACCAGGCTTTCCCCTGTATACTGCATAAAGTAAATCAAAAGCACAACCCTCTTTCACACATCCTTCTGGACCAAATACCACTTGCATAAGCTTAAAGCCTGCTGTGTATCAATTTCTTGATAACCCTGGTATGTTCTATCATTCTAACCACATTCTATTCTTTTATAGGCCGCATCTCGTCTTAGTTCTCTCGACTCTACCTCCTCCCATTCGAAATATACTCTACATACATAGCTGCTTGTATTTCTGACATACTGTTTCAAACATCAGTATCAGTTCATGTTCGAATCAGAGATGCAAATACTTGCAGATTTCAATTTTATTAACTACAGTTTTCAGACAAGAAAGTTCAAGTAATTTCAAGTAACTCAGCTTGTTTCCCTGCCTTCATTTGATCAGAGCCCTGGCCCTGACCTTTCCTCTCCCACCCACCAAGCAGATACAGTAAAACCGGACAAAACTTAGTGGTATGTAGCGTTGTGAAGCAGAGCTGTTCCCCGTTCCCAGTTTAACAGCCACTATAAATAATGCATATACATCCTTATTTCCCAGCTACATTCTTCACAGTGTCATTTCTGTTCTTTTTTAGGTAGCATAAATCGCTTCAGCCCAGAGAGAAAGCGTCGCTGAAAACTCACTGCAGGTACTTTCTGACAAATCAATAGCTCTGTGGCATGCTTGGGTTTGATGTCGGCTCATTGAGGAACCTGGCGTTAATCGCAAAATTGGTTAAGGAGTTTGAAGAGTGTAGTCATTAGATTATAACTGTTGATATCCCCAGTAGCCGAATGTAAAGCTTTAACCTAACATGGACGACCGTGTCCCTACTCATTCTCGATAAAGCGATCCACTGAAAAATCAAAGTTGAAAGGACACTGTCAGATGCTGTTGGTCAGGGCTTGGTGTCGAGAGTGATGGCTTCTCTCGTTAATGAAAGAAAACAATCAGAAGCATGCTTTTCATTCTGCCCAAATTACCTCATGGCGAATCGCAGCCATGCATTGCTATTAGCTTGTTTGGGGCTGGAATTTGTCACGAGACGTGATGAAGTCTGAATTCATCATCTTTATATTCATCACATTTCAGTCCATGACCTTAAGATTTCATCTTTTTTTTTCATCAGCTTGAGTTATAGGTGAGGTTTATCATTCAGAAAATCTTATTGGTGGACATTTAGATATGCTATTTGATATGAAAATGGTATTCACAGAATACAGTTATTACATTCTATTTTGTTGTGGTTTGCTTCTATAAGCAGTTGGTGTGCGGTAAATAGTTGGCCACATGTCCACTCATCATTGATAAATCTATTTACACATTTTATCAAAAATATGGTATTTACATATGTGTAGTTCTTTCTTCTAAATTTTGCTCTAGTTCATTTGAATGTAAAAAAATACCAAACCTCCAGAGTAATTTCGTTGTCTTCAAGAATCGTGACAGTGAGGGGCTTTAGTTTCTGAATAGGCAGCTCTGGGAAAAGGTTTTTCTAGCGGTCATGAAAAGTAGGTCTTTGGGGACTCTACATTATCCCATGGACTAGGATTGGGTCAATCTAACGAAGGAAAAGGAAACCATAAAGAACCGTGCAGCTACCGAAACTACAAAACAAAAGTAAAATAATAAGGAATGACAAAACTACTTCCTGCTCCCCAGCCAGCATGTATTTATCAACGCATTGGTAAGCAAGGATGGAACCTCCCGCTTCTCTGACTTCTCCCCGAGGCCTCTGTTCCCTTCTCGTCCAACTCGGAGTTTGGACTTGCAACAGGCCACGGAGCCCAGGCCCGTCTAGGTGGAGCTCTGGGAGGAGCGGTCGTCGTGGGGGCTCCCGTCGGAGTTCTCCGTCTCGCCCTCGGAGATGGCCTGCATGGGCGTATTGTACAGCCGGCAGCGGACGCTGTAGCGGCTGCTGCTGGCGACGGGGGGTGCCCGGGACCGTCCAATCCTTGCCGATGCGGAGGTGGCAAAGTTCTTGGAGGAAAACCCCTCTGCATTCACTCGTGGGGAGCATGGAGAGAGAGGGGACAGTGCCTCTGCCCCGGGGGAGCCCTGATGGGCCTCATCAGTGACCTGCGGGGAATCGGCTGCCAGCTCCCCGGGGGGTTTGGGCAGGATGGGACTCTTCAGGATCTCGGTGGCAGACATGCGGTAACTGGAATCAGAGCGGCTGCCCTTCTTGAGCAGTAAGAGCTTGAACTCTTCGTTGGAGGTGTTGGACTTTTTGGCATTGCGGTAGATGAGCCCAGGGGACCTCTGGCTGGTGGCGGTGGTCACGGTGCTGCTGGTGGAAGCGATGGAGCCCGCACTGCTGCCACTGCTGCCGGTGGACACTCTGGTTTTGTTTCGAACAGACATGTCCCCGGAATCTTTCCTTCCAAGTACTTTCCGCTTGGATCTTTGGAGGAAAGGGAAAATGAAGTATTAGTCTCCGCCCACTTACCTTTTTTTTTTTGTTTAATGACACCATGAGAGGGGCAGGTCACGTGCACTCACTGATTTTCAGAGCATTTCTGAGCATGACTCCTGAAAGGGGATACTAAGCCCTGGGACTCTAGCACTGACACTTCCTGCCCTTGGAGCACTCACAGCCTGTGGGAAACTGTTGAGGACCAAACAAACCCAAATTCACTGCCATGGAGGGAGTCGATTCCAAGTCCAAGTGCCCCTATAGAGCTAGGTAGAAAGAACTGTGTCTGTGGGTTTCTGAGACTAAAGTTTGAGATACAGGAGTAGAAATCCTGGTCTTTGTCCCACAGAGAGGCTGATGGTTTCAAACTGCCGGCCTTGAGGTTAGCAGCCTAATGCATAACCCAAGACACCACCAGACTTCCTTATCTAATGACCAGTGGGCACCACTTAGGTCCGGAAAGTAACCAGTTGAAAGCATGGTGTATGTGGAGGCTTGAGGTTCTAGAGGAAGACTTATTGGGACGTGCTGCGAGAAGAAAATGCTGACTTCCTGTTCCAGGTTAGGTGGCGAACGATAGTGGCTTTGTCTTATCAAATCTGTCTTGGTAATACAGATAAACTGCTCTGATGTCTGGGATTGGCTTCCAAATAATATAAGAGGGAGGAAGTGGATGGAGGTGGAGGTAGGACAGAATTCATCACATGTTGAAAGGTCTAGGTGATGGTATATTATACCATTATTGTCTACATATATAAAATGTATATATATACATTTTATATACATATATGCCCTGGTGGTGTACTGGTTACATGTTGGGCTGCGATCACGTGGTTAGCAGTTTGAAAGGAGAAGGTTTTCTACTCCCATAAACAGTTATAGTCTTGGAAATTCAAAGAGGAGTTACTAAGAGTCGGCACTGACTTGATGGCAGTGTGTGTGTGTGTGTGTGTGTGTGTGTGTGTGTAAAAGCTTTAATGACTTTTAAATAAATAAATCCGTCCTTCTCTGCCTGTGAGTATCATTTCCCCAGCTGCCTGGACATGAGCAGGCCGACATTCTGCGAAGTAAACCAACATTCTATGAAGAATAAAAACAGAGACCATTTCTGGAGCTTTGAAACCAACGTTCACTATAAGCTCTCCAGAAAAGAGAGCCATTCTTGTCACTTTGGTGTGAATAAATAGATGAATAAATATGACACAAGTGCAAACTTAAGATGGTCAAAGTCAATAATCTCTCTAACCTTTCTGTTAGCAAGCTCTTTTTGCAGACACAAAGTCAATGAGTCTTCACCGTTTGCTGAAAGTGGATCTCAGTTCATCGATAAGTCTTGACAACATGCTCACACACTGACTTAAAAGTTCATAAGTTAGAGATAAGGTCATTCATAAGTTTGAAAGTGGACACTAGCCTGATTTGGGTTTATTAAGACCTCTGTGCCCAATATGTTGCATATGCATTGGCGGTGCAGTAGGGCAGGAATGTCACACTGGCACTTGTTTTTATCATCTATTATCTTTGATACACAGACTTGTTATTTCCTTCTCAAAATCAAATATATGAGATATGGACAAGAACAAAAACAAACTATGATCATCAAGTCCAGTCAAACTCAAAGTGTCCCTATAAAGGGTTTTTGAGGTTGTGAATCTTATCTGGAGCATCGCAAGCCTCATCTCACAGAGTGGCTCGTGGATTTGAATCACCTAGTTGGTGGTTTGCAGCCCAATACATAACCCATTATGCCATCAGGGCTCCTTATATGAGCTATGGTTATCCCCATGTATAATTAGGTGCCATCTACTTAGTTCCAACTCATAATGACGTAACATACAACAGAACAAAACACTGCCCAGCCCTGTGCCATCCTAACAATGGTTACGTTTGGGTCCATTGTTGTAGCCACTGTGTCGATCCATCTGGCTGAGGGTCTTCTTTTTTGCTGCCCCTCTACATGACCATGCCTGATACCCTTCTCCAGGGTCTGATCCCTGTGGACCATGTGACCGAAGAACATGAGATGCAGTCGCGCTTGTCTCCATTCCACGGAGCGTTCTGGCTGTACCTCTTCCAAGACAGATTTCAATTGATATTCCTCAATTGTTTTGATTTTTATTTTTGCCAATGCTTTCAGTGACGCTTGGAATTCTCCCTTCACTATCATAGGTTCCTGATCATAAGCTACCTCCTGAAATAGTTAAACTTTGACCAGTTCTTTTTGGTACAGTGACTGTGTATTCCTTGCATTCTCTTTTGATGCTTCCTGTATCATTCAATGTCTTGCCCACAGAATCCTTTATTGTTTCAGCTTGAGGCTTGAATATTGCCCTTCTGTTCTTTCAGAATGAGATATACCAAGTGTGTTCTTCCTTTTTGATTTTCTAACTCCTGGCCTTTCTTTGCCTTTTACATCCACTATTGCATTTTCCTGGAGAACATAAAGCTTGGTAGAGAGTCAGAGCAAAAGAGGAAGCCCTCAATGTGATGGATTGACACAGTGGTTGCTACAATGGGCTTAACAGCAGGAATAGTAAGGAAGGCACAAGACCAAGCAGTGTTTTTTTTTTTTGTCTGTAGGATGGTGATAAATTGGAACTGACTTACAGGAACCTAACATTACATTTCATGTAGGAGTCCTACTGGCAGAGCAGCTAAATTTTCAGCTTCTAAATGAAATGTTAGCCATTTGTATCCCTCAGATGTTCCATAAGGTAAAGATGTGGCAATAACCTTTGAAGCCTTGTGGGCAGTTCTATCTTTTCCCTTAGGGACAGTGTGAGTTGGAATCTACTTGATAGTGATGGGTTTGCTATGTGTGGCAGTTACATAATCTCCTGTCAACTTGTGAAGGGGTGGAGTCCAGCCTCTCAATCAGGCCACAGCCAATGAGGCCTCAGTGTGGGCATGGCCTTCTCCTGAGGATTCTGGGAACTCCTGTCTTCCTCCCTGGAGGCAAGAGACTTCCTGCTTCGTCTTCCTGCTGACAAGCCACATGGAGCTACATTGATGCAGCCAGAGCCCTGGAACTGTAGGATCCACGTGGAGTCTCATGCCAGCTCTGAGATGCATCCACCACCACTAGATACACAAGACTTTCCACCCACTAGCCTGTGATCTCCCTGCATTCAGCATCAATGCATAGCTGCATGAGTCTAAAGAGGAATAGATGGGCTAGTCTTGACCTATGGGGTAATATCAGACTTATGGACCTGGGCTGGGCTGTTTTCTTAATACACAATTGCTCTTTTATATAAAAGCTTTTTCTTATAAACATATGAGTGTCTCTGGATTTGTTTCTCTAGTCAACCTGAACTAACACACTAAAGTTTGTTCAAATTTATTATTACGCTTTGTCTTCTCGGGTCATCCTTTAAAGCCTTCTGTTCAGCTCTTTTACTTCATTTCTTCCATTCCCTTTTGCTACTCTGCTTTCCAGAGCAAGCTTCAGAGTATCTTCTTACATCCGTTTTGGGTCTTTCTTGCCTTTCTTTTTTAATGACTTTTTAAAAAAATGTGTAATGTCCTTGATGTCATCCCACAACCCGTTTGGCCTTTGATCATTAGTATTCAGTGAATCAGATCTGTTCTCATCATGATCTTTATGTTCAGGTGTGATATACTCAAGGTTGTACTTTGCCTCTCATAGACTTGTTTTAACTTTCTTCAACTTCAACTTGAATGTGCTCAAAGTCATATTCTTTTAAAATTTCTTTGGCTTTAGAGAACAAAAAGAAGTCTGAAGGGAGAGATCAGGGCTGTAAGGTTGATGGGGGAAGGCTTCCAAATGAAATTCTCATAGGACAGCCCTTGCTGTCCTCAAAGACTGAACAGGTCCATTGTCATGATGGAAAAAATTCCTCAGTGCAACTTTCCTAGCATTCTTCTCACCAATGTAGCTTTCACTTTTCTTAACTCTTCTTCCAAATGAGGCCCCCTGATTATCCTCTGTCTTTCTAGAACCTCATTCAAGATGCCTCCTTTGGAATCCCCCAAAGCAGCTGCCATCACCTTCTGAGCTGACCTCTCTGTCTTGAATGGACCTGGTCCAGAAGATCCCCTCCAAATCCAGTTTTGATGGACCTTTTTTTCTTTTCTTTCTTTTTTTTTTTTTTAAGACAACTTTATGATACTAAAAAAACCGCCAACAAAACAAACAAACAAAAAACAACAGCAACCTATGCTGACTCATAGTGACCTCCCTGTGGGTTTCTGAGACTGTAACTCTTTACCAGAGTAGAAAGTCCAGTCTTTCTCCATTGGAACTGCTGGTGGTTTCAAACTGCTATCATGTGGATTGCAGCCCAATGTGTAACCATAACATCACTAAGGCTCCTGATACTAAAGAGTGTACTAAGGGGGGATGGGGAGGGAGGGGAAAATGAGGAGCTGATGCCAAGAGGTCAAGTAAAAAGCAAATGTTTTAAGAATGATAATGACAACAAATGTACAAATGTGCTTGACACAATGGATGTATGGATGGTGATAAGAGTTGTATGAGCCCCCAATAAAATGATTTGAAAAAGAAAAGAGTGCACTAAGGAATGTATCCATGATACTAAGACAAGTGTATTAAGGAGACAACTTGTCTGCATCCATCCATTGATGGCAGAGACATGTTGAGACTTGGTTTGTTTGGAATAAACAGTGCATTTGTGAACTGGAACCCTAATAACAACACTTACTTTTTGTAGAGCTGCCCCTCTACCAATGTACCCATACATCTATTGTGGTTTGTCATTACTATTCTTACAGGATTGTGGATCGAACAGTAGTTACCCTGCTGCCTTGTACTCTTGTGCATCTCTCAGTATGCCCTTGGTTGTTGGGGACTTGGTGAACACTGCCTCACCTGTGAATGACTGCAAATAAATCCTCAGTTGTCCGAGGTTTGTTCGGAGACACGAATGCACCTTCCACGTCAGCTTGAGCGTCTTCACTGAGTGGCGACATCATGGAGTCATCACTTGGTGACGATTCTTAAAGTAAAAACAGAAGCACCTTTAGGAGGAAGCTACTAGCACCCCCCTGTTGCTTCACTGATTTGAGACTGAATGGGAGTGACTTTTCTCATACTTTTAAATGAAAAGAGATACCGTCATAGTTAATTTTTCAATAACATAAGCTGAGGTCTCAACTTTATAATACGTGAAAAGAAATAGTGGAAAGAAACTGGCAGCCGGGGAAGTACAGCTCCTAGGGAACATAAGAAGAAAAAAAAATATGCAGAAAGTGACATAAGACACACATTCAAGGTAACAAAGATAAAGACTGACCTTTCCAGGAAGTCTCGTCCCAAATTCCTTGGAGCTCCTCTGCTCTGCTGGTATCAGAGGCACTTTTGGCGGAAATACCTGAAGCAATATTTTCCTGCTCAGAACATTTGTCAGGGACTGACTTTACAGTTGATACCTCAGATTCATAACTGATATTCCCAGGCACTTTGTCATTGTGGTGGTTCATAGCAAGTTGATATTTAACTTGATTGCTTATGTCGGCTGCTGTTGTTGGGGAGTTTGACTGAGACATGAGTATACCCATAGATTCAGGTTGGGCAATTTCCTCCCAAACTCCCTTGTGGCCCTGTTCTAGGGTTCCATCCAGACCAGCCCCGCACTGTGTTATTTTAGCATCAAAATCATTTGCATGGGCAGCCGAGACTCTCGGAAAGTCCTCTGGGGAAAAGTCATAGTTTTTACTTGGTGCATTTCCTGGACCAGGCTCACACTTCCTATGTATTTGGTCTTTTGTGACACTTGAGTCTAGACGATTGCTGCCCGCTGAGGTTGCGTTCTCTGGATCGCAGTGATTCTTCACATCAAGCATAAGTCTTTTGTCTAAATGTAGTTTATCTGGTCCCATCTCAACCGCAGAGGTGTCTAAAAAGGACAGTATGGCGTCTTCGGTGGAGTACTGGCGGGATAGTGACTTCTTGGCTAGATTTGGCCTAATCTTCCCTGGAGACAAGGCAGGCATTGTGAGAGTGCTTTCCTCTACGTAAGGGAGACCCGTATTGTTGCCTTCTTTTTGCTGAGCTTCTTCCGACTTATTGATGGACCGAAGGTTAACAGATTTCAGAACTGTCGGTGTAATCGCGAGGGATGGTGGAGGATGAGACCTCAGTGTGTCGCCCACTGTGTTCTTATTATGACCAAACACGTGCAGTGGGTGGCGGTGGTGGAACGGTTTGTTCAAGACACTATGAAGAGCACTTAGGTCAAGATGAGTAGGAGGTATAATTGGAAGTTCAAGGTCTTTGCTCAGTGAGAGAGTTCCATCTTTTAAGGATGGTTGCTGTAGGGAGGATTTCCTTTCGGGGACTTTAGGCTTTCTTTTGCTGCCTCCAGGAGACAATGGGCCAGAAAAGAAAGCTGTAGGGAAAGAGGAGGTCGGCGTCTCAGACTGGCTTGAATAGCCACTTGATGGGGACGCCAAGCCAGCCAGCTTTTCTGGTGAAACCAGTTTAAACTCATTGTCAACCGAAGGTAGGGATGGGGTGGTGGCTCTGGACTCTGATTGGGATGTTTGGGATTCAGAGCTCTCTGGAGATTTGATGCATTCGATGACTGTGGTACCCGTAGCCGTGCTTGAATTAGATAACGATCGATACGGATCATTTGTTTTCAAGTCGTTGAGAAGCCAGAGATCTGCATAGTGAGTTGATTCAGCACCTTCATCTTTGAATGGCGGGATATCTGCAGTGTCTAACGGAGGTTCATTCATACCGTGTTCACTTGCGTTCACCCAAGAAGGTTCTTGCTTGGCGGGAAGATTGGCATTTTCCACCCGAGAAGGCGTGTTGGAGAAATCAAGAGGCAGCTTCATTTCCCTGGAACTGTGAGGCAGGTGCTGACCACTGCTTATCTTTGGTTCTTTCTTCTCAGAAACATCGGCATTCCCTTCAGCCTTTCTCAAGGAGGAGCTCCGCTTAGGCGGGGTAGGCTTTGCCTTTGGTTTTCTGAAAGAGATGCTGGGTCGTCCTTGCCTCCTGGAGTCTAAGTAGTCGGGCCAGGCACATTCTGGAACGCTAGGAGGAACCCCAATGCCCTGGCCATTCTCCGGGCCCAGGGCTGCATAGTGACAGACATAACTCTTATTAGCTTTGAGACCACAGTCAAAATGCATGGAGGTATAGTACCCTTCCGTATCCACCGAAAAGTGAGAGCCTGTGTCAGCCTTATCAGATGGGGACTTTTCCAGAAAGCTGTCGTACGTGCCCATGCTGGTGAAGCTCGGGCAGCCCAGGCTGTCCGCCTTGGGGCGCTCAGGACTAAAATCCTGGCGGCAGGAGGCATCGTGATGGTGGTGCAGGTAGTTCCACTCGCTGTCACTTGTGTTGCTATTGTTTGGGTCGTCTAGCAGATCGGCAACCGTGGAGGTAAAGGAGTTTGCCCGGTGGCCTCGCACTTTATCCACGTGGTCATTGTACTGCTCGGCCACGAAGACACTGGAGTCCTCACTGGCGTGAGGGGCCGCGTTCAGTGACAGCTCGGAGTCACAGTGTGAAGAGCCAGTGAGGGGAGGGGAGGCGGCAGGCGGGATGGTCTCTGAGGTCTGTGAAGGGCAGGTGGAGCTGCTGCCACTCCAGTTCCCACTGGACGACTGGTGGTCATCTTTCTGGTCCATGTGGCTGCTGAGGAGGACGCCCGCCGTGGAGATGCAGTGGATGGGGCTCCCAAAGGTGTCTGAATTGGAGGAGATATCACAGCTTCCCGAGTCGGCAGCCATTCTGGACAGACGAGACCTCCCTCTCTCACTTAACTTGTGCTGGGGACTGTGAAGATGCTGTGAGCAGGCCAGGCCTAAGGCAGGCGGGTGTTCCTGTGCCCCTGGGCTGCTTGGGGCCTCACTGCAATCATTGGGGGCTCGTGCATGGTCATCTATGAAAGGTTCCCCCTCTTCATATGCTGAGGGTTTAGCACCAACGTCGGGCTCAGCTTCCCCACCTCTGTTACCCTCCCGGGGCAGGCTCCGAGATCGTGTGCGGCTGCTCACTGCAGTGGTAAACATGGTGTCGCCTTTGTCTGCTAGCGCCGAGATGTTGCCAGCAGAGTGAGAAAGCGAAGCCGCGATGCTCTGGCCCCTCTGCGCTCTGATTCGCCTTCGGGACGGAGCGGCAATAAGAATATCCTCAGTCTGGCACTCGGAGTCCCTGGTGCCAGACCTCCTGTTGACAGCACCGGTGGGGTCCGGGTTTGTGTGCACAATCACGTTCCTTTCCCTGGCCACGGGGGACTCGTCAGAATCTAGGGTACACAGAGAGCACAGTGAGCCAACACCAGCAGACTGACTAGCATCCCGAGAGCAAGCCACACGGCTGCGCACATATGGAAAGCCAGGCGGGGCGAGGAGAAGCGAGTTAAAAATTCCTTTGGGGAATTTTATCTATCTACACACATTTTACAAGCTATGCTTTTCCATCTCTTTTGTGAATTGCTGCTCTATTCACTATGAAATCACTCTGTTCTGATAAATGCACACAGGCCATTTGTATAAACGAAAGTACATTTTATCTTGGCACCACTATGATTTCCTCATTTTTATTTTGTGATGGACACATCGTGAGATAAATCCATAAAGGTCATTATAAGAAGTAAATAACACTATTTGCAAGCGATCCTACAATCTTAATTTAGAAATGGAGTACAGATTCTAAATTTAATGTCACCAAGGTGGCCATGTTACCAAAATTCAATATTTAATTGAATATGCTTGAAACTTACAGTTTGTAAAAATTCTCTGTATCTCTGTTCAAATAAAGTTACAGTTTACCGCCCCCCCCAAATTTTTTCATTGATTCTATTTTTTTATGCATGATTACCACTTCAATAAAACTTTTTAAAATGGAGCAAAAGATTACATTTCAGCCATAAAAGCCTTGGACTCCCATGAGAAAATCTCTATGGTCCAAACTTCACAGAGAACAGAAATTTAAAAGATCTATCCTCTGACTTACTGAACACTAAAGAAATCCACACCCTCTTCAAACTGCACAAGTGAAAACGGTCAATATGTGAAAGGAGGCTAGTCGAAAGGCGGCTTCCACTTCATTGCCTTATAACCCTCAGTAGACAGAAGGGAAACCAGAGCACATTGTATACTTCACCTATTTCCTGCTGGACTCTTCTGGGGATCCCCGAGATGGTTTTCCTTCTCCTCAGTTTGCGTCTCCGCTGTAGTACGGATTGAGAATGAACAAGAGAACAGCGTATACTAGCCTCTCTGTCGAAACCAACGCCTGCAACCCACAAATAGGTCTCATTAGTCTGTAGAAATGGCAAACACGTTTTCATTTGCTTGGGACACAGTGATATTGATTGATCAGAATAAGGGAAGAGTTGGGGTTAAGCCTGTGAACAAATATAAGGGAGCCCTTATTCAGCTCGGATTGAAATCCGGCTGCACTACACCAAGTTTTACCTCGAAAGGCAGCTCTCTGCAACAGCCTTCCCTGCCAAAAGTAACAGACAAAGGGCGAAACTCAAAGAGGAAAATAACATCCCCCAAATCATGTTCACACACAGAAGAAGCTCTTTGAGGACCTGAAAACCTTTGGTGACTACTATTTACTGATCCATTTCTAGGTTCTGGCAAGCTGATACGTTTGCATAGTAGATTAGGAACCAAGATGTTAATCTGAATTAGTTCAGCTAACATGACCCAGCCATGTCTTCATTAAGAGTCTTTGTGTAGATGTTTCTTCCCTCCACTGCCTGTGCCCAAACTCCTCCTTACACACACACACACACACACACACAATCTGTGAGGACACTCAACAGTCTAGATCGGTGGTTCTCAACCTTCCTACTGAAGCAACCCTTTCATACAGTTCCTCATGTTGTGGTGACCCACCACTCCAACCATAAAATCATTTTCATTGCTACTTCATAACTGCCATTTTGTTACTGTTATGAATCGTAATATAAATATCTGATATGCAGGATGTAATTTCATTGTTACAGACGGAACAAAATGAAAGCATAGAGATTCATCACAAAAACAATATATAATTATATTATGAAATACTTATTTCTAATGACAAATAAATGAAATTTGGTCTTGAAGCATGGGGTAGCATGGGTAACAGTCTTCACGCCAGGTACTCGTATGTGGGCATATCTGCCTATGGGCGGACCCACCTGGAGATGGATAGAGGAGTGGTGTTTTGGTTCCTAGAACCATCAGACATAACATGTTTTTCAATGGTCTTAGGTGACCCCTGTGAAAGGGTCGTTCGACCCCCAAAAGGGTTGCGGTCCACAGGTTGAGAATTGCTGGTCAAGATATATATATATCATCGCATAATTTCCTGCTGATTAAACTGGGTAATTTAGGGATTCAAAACAGCTGTTTAATAAATATAAAATAAAATTAAGAAAAGAAACACAAGGCAGTCCTCAAGCTTATACATAAATGTTATGACTATCATGTTGTAGTTCCCATAGGTTTGGTTTTGTAAGCACAGGGGACAAACCATGGTACCTGTCAGTTTGACTCTCCATCATCACAGGCGTGGCAATGGCATGTGAAGCTCGAAGGCTGATTGGGGGGGTGGGGGGGGTGGAATGACGAACTCCAACTCTTGACCGAGACAGGCCTGCCACAGGCACTTTTCCCAGTGAGCTTTGCCTCAGAAAGATAGAATGCTGTCTTTGGGAATCTATTTAGCTTTATTGTTAAGTGAGGGACAGGATGATATGTCAAATCGTGGTCCAGCTATATACTGAATTCATTTGACTTCAGCGTAGGATCCCCGTGCCAAACGTGTCTAGAACTCACTTTGAAAAATCTGCCTGAGAGACCACATGATGGATCCATTACAATATTATCGGGGAGCTAACACGAATGCATTTCCCTTTCTCAGTTGGAACGCAAATGCCAAATCTGCCACTCTCATCTTCAGAGAGAGGGTTAATTACGGAACACATAGGATACACAGGTAGGCACTAGGTGTCACGAGAACATGATGCACAACTTTCTCAGTAAAGCTCTTTAAGTCAGCATCAAATCTAGGCCTTTGAGAATCCTGCAAAAAAGCAAAAGGGAAACAAGAGCCAAAAAGGAAAGGAAAAAGACTTCCCTTTTTTTCTAATCACAAAGCAGTGGCCCGTAATCATAGGAGCCCCAACAAAATCTATTTCCCCCAATAAAATAATTTTAAAAAGAAAAAAACTATTCCCATCAAGCCGATTCTGGCACATAGTGACCTTACAAAACAGAGTAGAACCGTTCCATAGGATTTCCAAGGGTGTAATCTTATTTTATCTCCAAATTCTATTGCTTTTGTTGTTGAGTATATACACAGCAATGCAGAAGTTTCTGCATCTATGATGTGTGACAATGCTTTCATCCTTTGAGTTGTGGGCCCATTCTCACCCTCCATCAGTGAGTGGCTCCTCCCTCATTAACATAATCTCACAGCTTCAGAAGGCTCCTATCTAATCTTTTGAATTACCACTGTCAATTTGATCCAGCTACATACTGATCCAATACCAAAACTACCAAGCGCACCTCTACACCGTCCGGCCATCGAGTCGATTGGACTCATCATGACCTGATATGGAGAGTTCTTAAAAAAGCATGAGTCTGTATGAGCCCCTAATAAAATGTTAAAAAAGAAAAAAAAAAAAAAAGCATGAGTCTCAGGGCAGACGTTTTTCACTAGTTGAGCTAAACGATTGTTCAGTTTTAAGATGACTTCAGGAAATAGTTCGGGTTTAAAGTTGAAAGATGATCTCAAGACAATAGTTTCAGGACTTCGTCCAGTCTGCATGGTTTCAAATGGTCTAGAGTCCGTAAGAATTTGAAAATCTGTTCGTATCCAGATTTGCCCTTCTGATCAGGATTCTTCTATGGAATTTTAAAAATGGAATCTTCACTCATGAGAACTGGGGATTATCCTATTCTTCTGGTCTCATGGCAAAGGAGGTGTTTGTTCATGGAGAAAATTAGTCAGATAGTCTCCAGATCCTCCTCCTGGTCCTGCCTTTCCTGCTCCCTGTATTAATCCAGGTGGATAGAGACCAATTGTCATGCCTTGAAAGCTTTCAAGATCCTAGGCACTATGCAACAAACTAGGAGGTCGAGCCAAAGTATTAAACATGTTATTAGACTAATTAATTGGCATGTCCCATGAAACCAAGACCCTATCCCTCTAAACCAGGGAAACGAATCTCATGGGATGTTTGGATATACATAAGCAGCCTCAGCAACAGTAAATCTATCATATAACTTTTGTCAATTCGTTTTTATAGCTATACAACAGAGTGACAGCATTTTAATCATCAGCTGTGCAACTCTATCCTTAATGTATCTTCTTTAAAACATTTTTTAAAATAAATCATTTTATTGGGGGGGCTCTTATTGTAACCCATACATTCATTGTATCAAACACATTTGTACATATGCTGCCATCATCATTTTCAAAACGGAAAATCAAAGCCTTGGCCCCATCACCAGTGACCGTCCATTTCCCCCCTCCCTCCTACTGTTGGTAACCACTATGAAAGGTTGGCCTCTAGACATTTGCTTTGTCTTATCCTTTTCCATAAATCTAAGGCTGTCATCTTCATAAAGCAGACAGCCACATCTTTGTCCCGAAGAGTGGTGGTGGGTTGGAACCATCAACCTCTCCAGTTAGCAGCTAAGCACTTAACCACTGCACCACCAGGGCACCTTCTAATCACAGGACTAAATTGTTTTCCTTTTTCATTTATTTATTGTCCCTCTGACTCCACTCCCTGGAAAACAAGATTTTACTTACAGCACCATGGAGAAAGCCAGTGCTGCTATTAAGCAGATGCTCCCAGAGCTGAAAGTTAGTATAAGAGGGTACCAAAATGATCCACTTTGGCAGCTGAACTCCCTCCCATCTCCCATTTAGATGATGAAAGTCAGATAAGTGTACATCCTGAGAATAATTTATTCTACAAGTTCAATAGGTCATCAAGAAAATGAACTCCCAGCTCACGATGATCAACTGCAACCCTCTTTTCTCAGGAAGGAAAGCATCTGTGCCCCAGGTTCCTAGACACCAGTTTCTCTTCTCTTTGAGAGAAATATGAGTGGGGTTACATAGCTGTGTGTGACCAAAATGTATCCCAAGAAGTATGGAATCTTTATTCACCGAGTACCAGAATCAAAGAGTCAAAATATGGCTGTTCTGAAAATATCAACACACAAATAATGTGTAAGTATTAGAGATGTTTAAAGAAAGCCCAATATATCCCAAACACCAAACCCAACCCACTGCCATCGAGTTTGATTCCAACTCATGGTGAGCCTATAGGACAGGGTAGAACTGCCCCTGTGAGTTTCTGAGACGGTAACTCTTTACAGGAATAGAAAGCCTCATCTTTCTCTCATGGTGCCACTGGTGGTAACGAACTGGCAACGTTGAGGGTAGCAGTTCCCTACAACAGCATTCCAGAAGACCCCTTCATTTAAAGGGTGGTTAGACTTAAGTACTCTTTCTTGGTAGGCATATTTTTTTACTTTAGAAATGCATGGAAGCAACAATTGGCTTAAGCGATCTTCCTTTATAAGCCATGGTATATCCGATTTTATTACTGCCTTAATTTTTTCATAATCCTGATCAGTAATTTCAGCAATAACCTGAGCACCTTGAGAATTTAGGTTGGACTTTCCCAATAAACATCCTTTAGTTCTTTCAGGTAGCAGACCCCAATTGCCGCTCTTAATAATTTCTGATTTAATCACAGCTTATGGGTTTTCCTCACAATTCTGATCAACTCCAGTATCAATTTTAATTCCTTGACTATTTAGGTTAAATCTTCCTGATAGAAGTTGTATTACTCTTTCAAAGACAGTTTCCTGCATTTTAGAATCAACAGGCTGCTGTGAGGGCTTCTGAGCCTTCTCTTGGTTAGTTAAACCAACTGCAGCGATAACAGAGGCTGGGGTTCTGCAAGTTTGGCTAGGTTTGGTCTCCTGCTGTGAAGTTGGGTGGTTTCTGACATTCAAAGATTCTTTTCCTGGGTTAGGCAGAGGCCTTGCCTTCTGAGCTCTGCTGGGAGGGGTGTATCAAGCTCCTTCCTCTATTTTCCCGCAGGGAACTCTTTGCTAATGGTAGTCCTTTATTGTTGAATTCTGAACGACATTGACTTGCCCAATGAGTTCCCTTTCTACAGCGTGGACAAAGTTCACGGTCTTTTTTGCTTTTCCTACACTCTCTTTGAAGACGACCGGGTTTTCCACAACTAAAGCACTTTCTTCCAGGTCTGATATAATTTACCAATGCAGCTGCCATGACGTCAGCTTTGTATTCCTCTGTCTGTACATTCCTGCATATCCTGAGATAATCTAACAGCATGCCGTGTTCCCTGTAGGGATGCAAGGCATTTTTACAGTGCTTATTAGTGAAATCATAAGATAGTTTATGCACTAAGTCTCTTACTGCCTGGACATTTTTTACACACTTGGAAATAGCATCTTCCAGTCGAGACACAAAGTCAGCATAAGGCTCATCATTCTGCTGTCTTATAGCCGTGTAACTCGGCTCTCTCTCTTCTGATGGAATTATCTTTTCCCAGGCACTTAAGCAAACTTCACATATCTGTCCTATTGTCTGTTCAGTAAACTGTAGTTGAGACTCAACTGTGATATACTTCTCATCCCCTAGCAATTGATGAATTCCTGTATCTATCCCATCCTCAGAATTCTTTCATGCTCTTGCCAGGGCCGTTTCCTTCCACAGCATAATAGATTGCAAATATTCTGAAGAGGAAAGATATATTTTCGCTAAAGCTCTCCAGTCTGTAGGGGTCCAGCTCTCAGACCCTGCTAGAGCCGTTATCACGCTAATTACAAAATGTGAGTCTGGGCCATAATCATTGACTGCCTGCTTGAGATCTCTTAGCAACTTAAACGGAAAGGCACTGTGAATTCCTTGTGGGTGTTTCCCATAAGGCTGTCTGCTAACAACTCTAACAAGATGAGACATTCTAAATTCTAAATCTCCTTCTTCTGCAATCCCTCTTTCTCTCATGGTGCCACTGGTGATAACGAACTGGCGGCCTTGGCGGTAGCAGTCCAACGCATACCCACTATACCGCAGGGCTCCTTTCATTTTTATCTTTGAAAGTCTGAATATTTTAGAGCATTGTTTTTACTTATCACTTATGGAGTCAAGTCTGGAATTTAAAATTGCTGCCAATAGTTGGCTAGGTCATCAAGAAAATTAATGAAAGGGAGATTCAGAAAGGCATCCATTCTACCTAGACTAATACTCAATCTATCATTGCCCAGGAGGAAGAAAGCAGAGCATGAAAGACAGACAGGCTGGCTAAGTTTTCGAACACAATTCAGCCTTCTACATATCCATAAATCGCTAGATCAACCCCACCCCCTCCAACCAATACAGAAGTCTAAATGGTCTTTTTGAGGAAAGCCTACCTTCATTCAAGGAAGCATGAAAACAAATTTTAGCATTGGCCTAGGGGCCCATGACTCGCAGTTCTAGAAGCCTGCAGACTGCTGCTTTCTTTCTTGCATGCCACACATTAGCATATGATTAAACGCTGCCGCTTTCCCCGTATTTCAGTCAGCTATGGCCAAAGAGGTATTTGGTTGCTGGTTTCTTTTTTCAAAAAGAAACGATCATTTACATAACAAATGGCACAGTACAACCGATGCAAATTAATGTTCACAGTCCAACGAAAGCACATGAACCATCTTCTGGGCTGTATTTTTGTGATGAAAAAAAAGTGTTCAGGGTTTTACTAAGTGGCATTCTTCATGATAGGCCCAGTAGCAAAAGTTTTGACCCTATTGCATACACAGACTATGCCAACCCAACTGCCCCTTAATTTAGGAAAACAAACAGAACGATACCTGTCACGTTGATGGGAATGATGCAGGAAGAGATCACTTGGGCATCTTGCTTCATCTTCTCCTCTGGCGTGGGGAGAGGTAGGGCTTTGCTCCAGTTGGTCTGCTTGTCCAGGGTGGAAGGAATGTTGTGTATTGGATTTTTCGGCCTTTGCCCTAACATGACATCTGTTTCTTCATCCTCTGGGGGATGGGACTGAAAATAGAATAGATTCAGACTCGACCATCATCGTTCATAAACCAACACACACATCAGGCATGTCACAGTTTAGTGAAGAGCAATGAAATCAGAGACAGGCTGTCAGGAAGAAGGGAGGATTCCCGACACAGTACCCACAACCAACTGAAAGTCGGATTCTAAGAGTCAAGCGACACAAAGACAAAGAGAAAGATGCTACCTTCATACACTTTTTAGGTTAAGTGGAATAAGAGGAGAGAACAGGTAGCCAGAAATCCTGAACTTCAAAGTGGAAAAAAGTATGAGTCCGGTGGAATGGACGTTCCCCAGCCTGGATATCAATCTTGCTGTAAATTCCTAGCCAATGTCCTGGAGCCCAAGGTGACTAGGAAGACAATGATTTAAATGCCTGAGTAAAAGTCCAGAGAGCTTGTAGGAAAACCTGGAGTCAGGAGACCTTTCAGAGGCTATCACATGAAGGACAAGCCAAGTAGATCTGAGTTCACCTCACTAGAGGACCACGACAATAGGGAATAGCATTTCACACGACCCCTTCTCCGGTTGAACCCACTTTCATTGATAGGCCAAAGTGAAGACTCTTCAATACAAATGCTGCTCCTGCATAAAAGATTCAAAACTGTTTTGTCTTCCAGCTGGTGAGGCGAAAGCTGTCGGAGGCTATTTATTTCATTTCGTTTGTACACGCACAGGGAGCTTGGCTTTCAGGTGTGCCAGTTAGGGGTGTCACTTCCAGTGGACATTTGAGATTTCTCAACCTAAATCTTTGATAAATATTCATATTGTCTAGCTTTTGATTTGAGAGTTGGGCTATTAGCCCAGGTGATTGAAGACTCCATCCTGGTTGTATAGAGTCGGCTAAGAACCAACGTTCCCCATGTTTGTCACCAAGTCCACCCTATAAAATTCTTCCCCAGGGCTGACCCTGTACAGCGTGCTGCACAAACAGGAAAGGAGGTGCCTTTGTCAGAAACCAGCGAACCAAGGACAGTGACAACCCCAAAGGAATCCGCGAAGCTCGAATGAAGATGAGCAAAAAAGACTACTTGCAGCTTTCATGAGACCGATGGATCCAGAAGACCTCAGCCTACAGTTCCCACCCCAGAGGGGCTCAGGCCACTCCTCCTGGCTGTGCAGTGTCCAAGGGCCCTGGTCCCTGAGCTCGGGATCGATGTAGGGGACAGCTTCAGTCTGGGCTGATGCACTGTTCTGCCTCAGTCCGTCTGCACCCAGACGAGAAACCACCTTTGCTGTTGGCCCCCTACCTGGCCTTGAGACAGCCTGCAGGCTCTTCTCGTGACCTTACGGGTTTTCATTTCAGGGTTGAATTTCTAATGGCGATTATTCAAAGACCAAGTTTCGATACTGAGCTTAGTTCTACTTTGCTACCCCATTGCGGAGGAAGGGGGGGCATTGGTATACAATGAATATGTTTCCTCTTATTCCAGATCATTCGTCTTCCATTTGTCTCCCTCCCATGTGCTTCTAAGGGTTTCACAATTTGTCCAAGGAGCTGACTGCAGGGCCCCTGGGCGGCGGAACTCACTGCCAGCACTCGCTTACCTTGTCAGCGGCTCCTGCGCAGCAGCTCCCCAACACACCCCAGAGGCCATGGGTCGCCCCCCCCTTGGGAAAACTGGGCCCACCATGAAGGTTTTAGGAAAACATCGCAACTTTCTTTCTCTCTTCCACTTTTGTGCAGATTCCCAGCAAACCGCGTCGCTCAAATAAAGTTGGAGCACAAAAGACTTTGTTTCCTAGGTAACTTCCCAAAAGGGGGAAAAAAAAGTTTGGCGCTTGCAAAAAAGAGAGCGAGACCACGAGCCAGTGTGTAAGTGAGCTATAGCAAGAGGGGAAACCCCCCACCTTGAAGAACACTGGGCTGGGAAACCAAGAAAGAGTAGTGACTGGACACAGGTGACGAGAATGACTGGCTGCCAGAGAATGCCTTTGTCCTGCTCTCTCTCTCTCTTGATTTGAGAAGCCAAACCTAACAGTTCAGATACACATAGAGCAAGTCACCACGGCTTTCCGGGACACCAAGTCCAGGTGCAGCATCAGGTGATGGATGCCCTTCTAGAACAGAGCCTTCACTGCACCTGGGGCGGGGGTGGGGCTGGGGAGCCATAGGCGCGACTGTCTTAAGTTACCCTTCATTTCATTCACGTGAGGAAAATAACACTTCTTGAAGTTCGATCAAAAGGCAAGCCCCGTTAGTTAGGAACAGAGTTCACAGGCAAGGTCAAAGAGAAGAAAGTGAAAGTATGTGGATAGAGTGGGAAAAGGGCTATGAAGGAATGCTCTCAGAGCCAATACCTTTCTACTCCACGGGGTCATGTGGCAACACTCAGTGGGGGAGGGCGAACGAGTGCTGTTAAACTATGAACATGAAATGCAAACAGAAAAAGGAAAAATTAAAAACAGGCACACAACCCAATGCACCCCGGCTAAACCAAGGGTATGATATTAATGAATGAACACAGAATGAACATACTGGGACATCTTTCCTTCCTTCCTCCCCTCCCTTCCTCCCCTCCCTTCCTTCCTTTTAAATGAGTATTTTATGAGGGGTGGCATAAATAGCAGGAGCCTGGTTGCAGACAGTGGTTGTACGCTTGGCTGCTATCCAAAGGGCTGGCAGTTTGACGCCATCAGCTGCTCCCGATGAGAAAGATGTGGCAGACTGCCTGTGTCAAGATTTACAGCCTTGGGGCAGTTCCACTCTATCCTACAGGCTCCCCCAGGGTTGGCATCTACTCTGGGGCAGCAGGTTTGGTTTGACTTGGGGTTTCATGGAGATGATGGTTACGAACATGGACCTGGAACTAAACTGTGCTCCAACCTTGCCTCTACCCCTTATTTGTTTGGAACAAATCATTTATTTGACCAGGGTCAGTTACTCAACCCTTCGAAGGGTCAGTGTCCTTATCTGTAAGATAGGGAAATGATCACATCTGTCTTCTAAGGCTGGTTTAGCTGTTTTGAGGATTCCATGAGTCAATATAAGGAGAAGCCTCACTCATATGTCAGGAAGTGTGTTGGTATTATTATAGGACGACCACCATTATGTGAACTATCTGTGAGATTATCTTTAGAAATGGTACTTTTTCTACGTTTTTTATTCCAACCCCATTTGCTCATTTGGGAAAGAACATATTTAAGAGTGCAAATTGGGCTGCTCGCTGCAAGTTCAGCAGTTTGAAACCACCAGCCGCCCCGTAGGAGACAGTGGTGGAGGCTTTCGATGCCCCTAAAGAGTGACAGTCTCAGAAGCTCCCAGGGGCAGTTCTACCCTGTCCCGTACAGTTGCTGTGACTGGGAATCGACTCAAGGGCAGTGAGTTTGATTTGGGTTTTGGTAAAGGGATTTTATTTTCCTGTGGATTACTTGGAATAAAATTTCCTGCATAATTTCCTCCTCTGAACTGCTCAAATTTTGCCTTCCACCATATAGTCATAAGCTAATCAGGAGACGGAGCTAGTTCCATGGGGATGTGCTATTTGGTTTAAGGCTCTGTGGTCACGGTCTTGAAATTCTTACATTTTCAATAAGGAAGGGGCCCTGCATTTTCATCTCGTACTGGGCTACACAAATTACATGTTCGGTCCCATTGGGGTAACCAAACTAATCTTCGTGGGGTCTACTGAGAAGGACGTTGTAACTCTTCTAAGATCTAAGCCAGGTCAGTTTGGTCTCCAATTAGACATTTTACTGTAGCATTTATCCTACAGCGCTGCTTTAATGCCACATGGCTGTAAATGCTTTTTTATGTTTTTGATGAGGAATTCCTAGAGGTGAGGAGCCATCTTTAAAAGTCCTTTCAGTCTCCCGTAATGGCAGCAAAGTGTCACCCCTATGGTGAGCACTCAAAAGAATGATTTGTTCACTTGAATGACACGAGCTCAGTGGGTTTCAGCCATGGTGGCAAACCCCAATGCAGTAAGAGTCAGGATCAGGATCTCAGGAAGCAGACACTCTACGGAACCCAAAGGTACTCACCATCCTAGGGCAAATAAGGTGGCAACCGGTGGAGAAAGCACCCCAACAATTGGTTACATAGGAAACCCAGCATGTATGCTGGGCCCAGTTATTGTTAAGACTGCAGCAAACAGGCATTTCTTTGGGGAACACTCAACCTGTTTCCATTCCCCGTTTCTAACTTTTAGCTGCCAGAGGTGTTCATGACTCGTTGTAAGCAAAGCAATGCCATCTCCTTCGCCCAGCTCACTTTGATAGAGACCTATTTGTGACAAGTAACCATTTCCTCACTGAAAGTGACCATGTTGACAGCTGGGCTGGTGTATGAGTTCAGACACTTACCTGGTTCTCCCCTAAGAATCCGTCGCAGATAAGGATGTCGGGACCTTAAGCCACTGGGGTGCATAAAATAGGAAACAGGGGACCTGAAAGCAAACCCTACGTAGAAAGAGGTGCTGCTTCAAGGATGCCAAAGGCTTTGATGCCTCATGCAAGGATTTCTTTCTCTTTTTTTTTTAAAGATCATTTTATTGGGTACTCTTATAGCTCTTATAACAATCCATACATCAATTATATCCAGCATATTTGCACGTATGTTGCCATCATCCTTTCCTAAACATTTACTTGCTATTTGAGCCCTTGGTATTAGCTCTTTTTTTTGCCCTCCTTCCCGCACCCTCCCACCCTCATGACCCCTTGATAAATTATAAATTATTCTTATTTTCATATCTTACAATGACCGCTGTCTCCCTTCACCCATGTTTCTGTTGTTCATCCCCCTCGGTGGGGTGGGGATGGGGGAAGGGTATGTGTCGATTATTGCGATAAGTTCCCCCTTCCTACCCTCCTCCTCCTCCCACCTTCCTCCTATCCTTCTGGTATCACTACTCCCATTTCTGTTCCCGAGAGGTTTATCTGACCTGGATTCCGTGTGTCATGAGCTCTCATCTGTACCAGTGGACATGCTCCGGTCTAGTCAGAACTGAAAGGCAGGACTGGGGCCATGACAGTGGGGGGGTCAGGAAGCTTCAAAGGACCAGAGGAATATTGTGTATTTCATTGGTGCTAGACTGCGCCCTGGTTGACTCATCCCTTCCTTACGACCCTTCTGTGAGGGGCTGTCCCTATGTCTACAGATGGGTTTTGGGTCTCTGCTCTGACCCCCTCATTCTCAACAATATGGATTTTTTATCGGTTTGGGGTCTTCTGATATCATGCAAGGATCTTCAAAAAGTTACACAGCAGCAAACTTGAGGTGAGAAAACATACTAATAATATTAATATATTAATTTTGGTAATTGAGCCTTCTCCAGGAGTAGGTCCTGGACAGATGTTTTTATTTTTCAAAAGTTTGAGACTAAGGACGACAAGTTCTGAGATTCAACTCAGATTGTGAAGTTTTGGTCACCATGATTACTCAACCCTTCAAAGGTCAGTTTCCTTATCTCTAAGATAAGGAAGTAACAAGATTTCTTTTGGGAACATGATTAAGTTAAGGTCTCTTTGTTCTACACCTCGCAGCGTGGGTTCAGCTCTCACACTGTGGAAGTTGGAGCTACTATCAACATAGCAGAGAGGCCAATTCCTCTTCAGCTAATCAGCCTCTCTAATACAGCGTATTGTTGGTAGAGCCAACCTCTAGCTGGTGGAAGTAGAAACTAGGTACCTCTGAGTTTGAACGTGGAAAATCATATTCTTTGATTTCTTGACCTAGACACACACAGTCCAGTCCCTGTATATGGCCTGTGGATTTAGAGTATTCAAGTTTAGAATATTTAAATGGGTGATGGTCTTATTTCTATCATGATTTAGTAACTGCTGCATTGTAGTGTTTTAAAGTATTCTTTTCCCTGGGGGCTTGGAAGGTCCTATTTAAATGAATCCTATTGCTTATTCAGAGTCATACTTGTAAGGGCAGCAGTTATTTCTTGTTTACAACTGTATTCCTACCACTTCAATAGGGATATAAATACAAATATAAATCTATCTATCTATATATCAGCCCTAGGTACCTGATATAAGCAAACAAAGCTCCTCTCCTAAAGAAATAACATCACATTATTGATACACTTCGTTTTTGAATACAACATTTACCCTACATTCAAAGATAACAAGCCACAGGAGGAGATAAAGCAGCGTGAGCAAGCAGCATCCAAAACAACAGGTACTAGAAGCAGACCCGCAGGGACAGTGAGGAACCTCGGTTACCCTAGAGTCAGGGTGTGGGAATATTGTTCGGAGACCCCCCACTGACTTATTCTTTCATTCATTCAAGAGCTTTTCCTTGCAGAGGCTCCAAATCTGTCCCAGCAGAAATAAGTGATCAGATTAAAGAGAGTTTCTCCATAAGGAGTACATGGGTGTTCATTGTATAATTCTTTCACTTTTTCTATAGTTTTTGACAATTTTGTAGTAAACTGTTGGGCAAAAATTGACCGAAAATAAAGGCAAATTGGCCCTCCTCTTCCAGTCTCCCATTCTGGCCCACCTAGCACTAGTTTTGAGAGGCCTCAGATTCCAAGTCCCACCATTTTGGAATTAGCTGCTACCAGTCATGCCCTATGTTGTCCCTAACAGAAGGTGCTCCTTTGGTACATTCACCCCATTTCTGTCCCTGTGGCCCCATCAGTTACACCTTCAAATGATTTCCTGAGCTTCCCATGAGACTGTTTCAACACAAGCCAAGTTTGACTTAGGGGACCGGTGTTCATAGCAAAAAAAGTCACAGATACTGCACTCAAAATCACTCAAAGACAGTGTTTGGATGGAAAATGAGACGATTTCAAGCCCCAGTCTTCTTTTGTGGGGTATGTGCATGCGAGGAAGAAAAGTTCATCTCTCTCTACTCCAAATATCTCAAGATTTTACCCAATCTTTCTCTTCCTGCCAACAGAAAAATTAGAATCTTTTTTTAATGAGAATCTTTGGACCCTATGTTTTACTTTCTTTTAGGTTTGATTTTATATGCCGATGGGGGCTTAGTTTGCTTCCAAACGTTCCAAAAAGACATCTGCTAAAATGCTGTGGGTATTCCGGTAGGAAATGTTTTGAAAATTGGCTTGAGTTTGTGATCTCACTGATAACACATGGCATTTATAGCAGTCGACTTTCAGAGCTGATTTACTGCTATCATGCTGTCTTAAACATGAGAAACCGTCACTGGAAACTACAGTCTGAATACAGAAACAAAACCTTAGAACTGAAATGTCACTGCCAACCTCCCTGAGTTCCTGGTGAGGTGATCTTGGCTTTAGTTCTGCTTTAGCATGGGGCTTCTTTGTCCTTAAACCGAGTTCCCTCATTTCTGTCTCAAAAAAAATTTTTACAAGTGTGTACGTCTTGTCCATGTATATAAATTGTCTTGATCATTATGAAAGAAAGCTAACAAGCCCTTCTTTCCA